GAACTTTAAGTATAATTCAACTGAAAAACCAATTAAAAAAAATAAAAAATAAATAAATAAAAGATTCATTTTTTTTTTTTTTTAAATAAAAATAATAATCGTTTTATTAAAGATTAAAATAAGATTAATTGCACAGCCCTAGTTGACCGTAGACTGTATACCAATGTTGACATGAAATCAATTGATAGGTCAACCTTATTACATCTGTACATCTAGAGCAGGGGTACTCAAACTTTTTTATTAAAGGTCCACTTGTGAACTTTATACAAGGTCACTGGTCCGGATCAATGCCAGTAAAGTCACCCCAATGCAATGCGTGTCACGCTCGCGCACACAAGTAAATATATATGCACGTGCATTCTCACAACGCGTCAGACACAAGAAAATATACATTAATTTACATCAGAATCAGAAAGTTTTTATTTTTTTATTTAGTATAATTTTGATTTTTTTTATAATGGGACACAGGGTTCGGTCCGGATCCGGACCTGGTCTGGAGTTTGAGAAGCCCTGATCTAGAGGTTACAACAACAACAACAACAAATGCAGAAATGTCACTGACTTGAGTTTCTGCATGTCTTCCAGGGATCTGGTCAGCGCATCCTCAGCGGCCTGTACCCTCTGCTCCTGTGCATCATGGGACTTGGCCCCAGACGACTGGCACGCCGACAGGCTCGACCCCTCACAGAGATCCTCAGGGTCTGCCAGAAACACAGAGCGTAAAGGCTGAATACAGTGACTAACACAAGCTCAAATACAGGAAGACAAAGTTTACATTTTGTGTATTTTGAATTTTGAGCTGCATGTTTATCGAGAGTATTTCACAGGGCTGCTGCACAAACATCTTAAACATCAAATGTAAGGACTTTCTCAGGCCAAATGTTCTCAAATTCAAGTATCAAACACTAAATAGTTTGAGACCAGGAGAAGGTTAATTAGAGCAACATTAAAAAATGGTTAAATGAGAATTGGCAGACTTTACACAACTTCAAAAAGATGCAGAGGTTTGCATGTGTGTTCACATCTCAATTGTGCTGGGTTACAGTAAATCTAGCAATAACTAATATTTCTGGAATAAAATGTATTTCTTGATCAATATAAATTCAAGAACTTTTGATCTAGGTCTATCTGTGTCTTTTTTTAACGATCGTCAAGGCCTTGATTTTCTTTCTAGAAATTCACAACCTCCTAGGGGTTTTAAGGACCTGTTTTTGAATCTAATATTCAAACCTGCCAGTGGTTTTGGGAAAACTCTCATTACTCTTTCCAAGGAAATGTTCATTAATTAGATGTTGTGTGTTTGTTTTTATTCCTGAAAGGATGTTATAGCTTTAGATGTTCACCAGTTATCAAATATCAATTACAAACATCATCAGAGAGCCAAGGCTTCTTGCTGCAGCTGCCATTTCCGCACATTTACAACCATACAGTGAGGATTGCACAACAGAGGAGACAGAGAGGCTTAATTCTACAGCCAGGCTCGGTGCTCAATAAAAGGTACAAAAGTCACACTTTTTCTCAACAGGAAAATATATATCACTCCCATAACTCCACTAACGCTCTCTGCGCCTACACCCAAAACTAAATCCTGCTCCTTCTCCGACTTTTTTCACTCATTTCGGAACAATAACATTCTAATAGTAAAGGTTAAAAAGAGCTATACAAGAGAAATGTAATCTACAAAATTCCATAAATCATTTTGTAAACTATACTAAATGATTATGTGGAGCTCTCGCTTTAAAAATGTTTTTTCCCCACAACTACTTTTGTGACTGTATGTGTGCACAACCTAGCCCAACACCAGGAATGTCTTTAAGTAGATATTGAGATACAAAAATGTGCATCGTTATTCACATTTCTACAATTTATACTTGGAAAATTATATATTTTATATTCAATGGCACTTACTGAACATTTTTCACCTCTTTCCTACGGACCACCGCTGAGCAACTGCTAAATGTGAATGTGTTATGCCTTTGTGATAACCTTACAAGACAGTTTCATAAGTAGTTTTGAAAATCTAATAAACTTTTGCAAATATTGTCTAATGAGACGGACATATCTATTGAGATTGTAACTGAGTTCAAACAAACGAAAGCAGTTCCGTACCTGTCTGCAGGAGGGGGTCGTCCTGGATTACTGGCCGCAGGAAGTCTTCACTCTCCCAGGGTAAAGGACCGTCTGGCAGCCCTGCTAGACAGGCTGCATCACATTTCTGTAGACAAAGATCCATCAGTCCTATTGCACTTTTTTTAAATGTATATTTCATTTAGTTAGCTATTTTTCAGTGCATGCTTTGTGAGGTTTTTTGGATGAAACGTTAGCAATTTCTATGCCCAGTGAACACAAGGTAAAAACAAAAGTCGCAAACATCAAGGAAAAACCACACAATATATCAATTTAACAATATAGTGTGAACATTCAATCTTGTGACAGATTGTACTTACTGTTGACCGTATGAAGTTGATCATCTTTATGTAACCATAGTCATCTAGATCTAATGAGGGAAAACAAAAAAGTGAGCCATTTTTTAAAAACTGAATATTCCTCTGATTGACACAGAAAGCATTAGTGCCTGCTTACTGTGTTTTCTCATCACGTCCACCAGGTTGAGCTGGTGCTCAACAACGCAGTGCTGCAGGGTGGCCAGCACGGAGCTCAGCAACCTAAAACATACCAAGTGAGGAAATAATGTTTAATTAAATATATACAGTAAACTTCCATGTGTTCATCTTCAAACGTCTTAACGGATTCTGAGATGTATTACTTTGCTGTGTAGAGAATTTCCTGGATCACAACCAGTAAAGCATAGCATTACACCCTGAATTGTATGAATACAAAACAGTTGGTTCGCCTCATTTGTGGTGTAAAAGCCAACAAACCAACCGCGGGATTTTATGATAGCTGGTAAGGGACTTTAGCATGTTTTTTAAAAGGCTTAATTACTAATAAATCGAATTAGCTGATTGTAAATACGTCTCAGAAAGCAATCTTAGAACTGATTGCAATAAAGCCATGTATATAACCCATTAAAGCATATCAACAGTAATCACACATTTCCCTTGTCTAGGTCAAAAGCTAGTTAAACTGCTTTGCATGTTACTGCTCTGTGTACTTAGTCAGTTCATTGAGTCGAATTTTAAAGTGTGTCCCTGCGATCCCAAATATTATTCATAACATGGGGTTGATTTGAATTAAAATGATATACCGAAGAACGACAAATAAGAATACATACAATTTTACATTTAAAATAAAAATGTAATTCATTTTTTTATTATCTTTGATTTTTATTCTGACCTGAAAAGGGAGATTATGTGTTTTGTATGACATGTATGACCAAGCCGACTGTTTGTGTTGTTGTTGTATGTTATGTTTTTCAGAGCTGTAATGTAACACTGTCACATTACATAACACAACCGCTATATCATTGCTTGTCAATTTGTGTTCAAAAATCAAGTTCATAACAAAAAAATTAAAAACGTGTGTACAATCAACAAGTTATTATCTTTTTTAGTAACTTTTGTTTGACTCCTCTGGTATCGTTTGTAAAAATGCAATTGCGAGAAGGACTTTGACCTTAACTAAAATGCAACATGCATCTGTTCTTGCAGGTGTAAAAGCAAAGCACTCTATATCACAGTCCTATGGTTTTAAAACAGGTACTAAAACTTTTAGCAGACTAAAACCAAAGTAACTTCTTATGCATGTGTTTGAGGTTTCGGTAAATAGACACAACCAGTGAAAGAGAAGTCTGACAGTAAAGATGTTCTGTAAGATTAGCTGAAAGTCATCTCACCTGTCACAGAACAGACAGGTGACTTTAGTTGGCTCACTGTCATCTTCATCCATACACTGCCACAGCTCGTCATTCTCAATGTCTTCATCCTCACCGTCAGAGAGCTCGGGCATCTCGTCTGCAACCCCGTCACAGTCTGTAGAATAAAACCTCATTACAGCTGCATGCACACGGTAACTTTTCGCTGTGTTTTAGTAAGCTAGTCTCCTCATACATTAGCATCAACGTTGCAGCTAGGCAAAAGGTGTATAACTTAACGTTTGACGTAACTAAATTCACAGTTATTCCACTATTTACGCTTTAAAATTAAACGTCAGCCAAAAAAAGGGTTTATATGTTCAACAGCTATCGTTTTTGGGGTTAAAATGTGCTATTTACCAAACTCACGTGGGTTTGTGTATTCTGCCATGATGTCGCTTTGGTTTCAGTGGACTTCCTGGTCACGTTTGGTGACGTAAAGAAAGGGGCCGGGCCATAGACTGGCATTATAGGCTGAATCAGAAGAGCGTGCACTTCTAAATAAACACCACAAGATGTCGCCAGAGTTTAATTCATGATACCTCTACACTCATACAGATCAACAGGGTTTATTGTGACCTATTCAAAATTCCAGACACATGATCTTTGTGTTGTTGACTTCTCACCCACAGCCACTAATGTCTAACTAGACAAATAATTTAGAGGGCAGGCAGCTGGGATATTAATAGTTTGATAAAGAAAAATGCATAGTTTAATTTGACAATGCTGGTTCTAAATTTAGCTCAATAGGTACAAAATTATTATTTGAAGACGCTCAGATACTTTGTTCTTTTGAAATAGGGTGTTAATAAATTATATAGCTGACAAATAGGAGTTTACACTTCCTAACCCCCCTCAACCCATTGGTTGTTTAGCTTCTTTAAATCAAAGTGATGAGCTAAACATCAGTACATTACAAATCTGGAAATCTGGATAAAGTTATGCTAAATTAAGTGAAAATGGTGCAGACAGAAACATTTGGAAAATATATATTATACTACGTTTTACAAGTTGTTTAAAATAGATTTGTGGGAATTACAATAATTATAATTTCAAAAACATATTACTCCAAACAGGCAGAGCTCACCTAAAAACGGTTTATGTTAGATTCTATTTCAGGTGTAATAAAGAGCATTTATGTAAAGAAAGAAACTGAAGAACAAAAGTAAAGCATCAATGTTCTTTATTAGCAGTCAGACCCTTTCCTGGACAAGCTGCAGAACTTCCAGTAGGTGTCAACATGAATCTTTTGTGTCTCAGACTTCAGATTAGGCTTAAAGGTTTGAATACTTGGACGTGCATTACTGCTGTACGAGTAGACAGGGACCCTTCTGTCATTTGGTCCAAAGTCTACAGGTGCTTTGTCTACCTGAGCAGCTGGAAAACTTCCTGTTGATTTCAATCTGGTGTGAGAGACACGGGGTGGACGCTGCTCTACACCTGCAGAGAACTCAGAATCAGGGTTTACCTGCTGAGTCTTCTTGCCATCAGGGGAAGTGAATGCCTTGTTTCCAAAGCGCTTGAACACCAAATAATTATGTCCTCGAGTTATTAAGGCTAAGCCAGGGTTTAAATGGCTGATTTGGCTTTCTGGAACTTTGCTTTTTTGTATTTCAGGAATAACCGGATGATGGATTTGGATTAGTGAGGATTGAGAGGCTGTGGTGTGATCTTCTGCAGGGTACATTTTGCCATTGTAACCAGCTTTAGGGGTTCTCATAATAGGTGGTTCACCCCATCTGTTATATTCTCTGTTGTCATTGTGGACGCCCACTGGAGCCTGTCCTGACTGGACATAACCTATTCAAACAAAACACAGAAAGAGAGTGTAAAAATGATTGTATATAAATCCCTAATGGCTGTTAAAATTGCATATTTACATACCTCTCTGGGTATTCTTACAATTTACATAACCAAGCAGCAGCCACAAACAAAGCACAAACAGCCTGCAGAGTAAAGGGCACAACAGGTAAAGGTCATAAACTTCAAAAACATATATTAAAATAAACACAAGTCAAAAAGCAATTAAACAACTTACCTCAAACTGTGTGTAGGGCTCATTGTTAAGCTGCACCTTATCCAGGAGTGAAGGGCAGACTCCAACCCCTATTTATAAACTCTCTGCAGTGAGAGGCATCGGCTCAGCTGTTCCTCATGTTGTACTAATGGATGGGCGGCCATGATGGCAACACCTAAAGCTGCAGGAAGAACATAAAGCAGCTCGTTTTTCCTTCAAACAAAAGTCTATTTTTGGTTGGTTCTACTGTACATTATTACTTATTAGGAGCTAAATGATGTAGGATCAGAACAGAATGTGGACCCAAGGACTGTCAAAAGTTAATTTTTAATATTGGTTGTCTCAATGAAAATCTTGCCTTAGATATATTTATGGTTTTAGCTGCAATGTAAAGAGATAGAAAACCTATTGTGTGTAAGATAAGAACAAAATATAATAGGCCATTAGTACATAAGGTAAAAACGTTATCACTTTAGACTTTAACCACAGATTTGACGAGTCCTCCATCCAGCCCAATGAGTGAAACCGCATTCAGTCACAAGAGGGCGCTGTTTGATCAAGAAGAGAAAATACGTTGAATTCACTGATCTCTCATACATGAAGACAAGTTGTGCTTCAGATAAACCAAAAGAATACATCAAAACACATGCATATTTAAATTATTAAAATACAAAACAGTTAACAAAATAATAAAATATATAATAATCAACTTGTTGTCCTGTTAAATTCTAAAGACTTTTTCTGTTTTCAAGTTATTATGGTCTGTCACTAAACAGCAATTTAATTTGTATGAACACAAGTGCTGGTTTTCATGTGTCTGCATCATGGATGATTTTTGTGCTTGAGAAAAAAAAAAGCAACAAATTAAAAATATACTAACTAGCTGTTTTTAAGACTTTAAATTACTTCACTTTGGTAGGACTACAAACTTGCCTTGGAAATAAGTATGCAAAATGAATTAACGTTTATCAAACATTGTTTAATTGCTAGCATTACTGTAGAAAAACAAAATCATATCTCTAATGTATTTCTTGCATGTTACATTTAGCATACTTCTGTTATAAAATGTTTGAAATATTGTGTTGTGCATCTATATAAACTGCACAGATGTAGTACTGCAGTTATACTCATAGAAGATTATTCATATTGACACAGCTATTATGGAAACATGTTTCTAAATCAAACACACAGTCACATTTCTATAATAATTTAATGAAAATATGTTAGAGACATCAAATATTTTAATTGTATTAGACATTTAAGCTTTTACTTTAAGGCAATGCAATTACATAAAAGAGGTTAGCAGCAGTTCCCTGATATTAAAAATATCAATCAAAAGCAAAGCAAAAAAGCACAAAACAAATGAAAATATAATATTTTTGCTAACTAAACAGATCGTCTTATCCAAGAATCGTGTACATTCATGGAAACTTATTTTGGTTTTCTGATAATGAACTTCATGGATAAATTCATGTTCAGTTTCATTTTAAAATCAACTATTTTTTCAAGTATGTGAAAATCCTTTGACATCATGGTCATGGGAATAGTGTTTGTAGTCGTCCCAGTATATCTGCTGGAATTACCTGTACAGACAAAATAAAATCAATAGTTTGAAGTCACAGCTCAAACAGAAAATCACAATGCAATCTTACTGACAAAGTCTTAACTTTAAACAGATCAAAAATGAGCAATAATAAATAAGATGGATGTGCCAAAACATTAATTTGGATCATGATATGAAAGCTAAATCAGAGAGATCAGTCTAGTGAATTTACAGCAAAATTGGTCAGGATATTTAAACTAATCTGATCTGAAATGTTAAGAGCTTTGTTATGAAAACTAAATAGTTCTCATTAGTTATTAATGATACTTCATACTCGTATAAATTAAAACTGCCTTGTGAAAAAAGATGAATGATGTTCCCACAAAAACCACCATTTTGCTCCAACAGGGTTCAGTCCCATGCCAGAAATCATTCCCTTTAACATATGCTATCAGTGTAAACGGTTAACTTTTTTCTCACCTCAGTGTATTTTTTGCATTTCCTTATTGCCCTGCACCCTTTCCCAGACTGGCGATGTCTTTGTTCTCTAGGATCTCTGTCTTCTGCTCCGGTTGAAGCAACGTGTTAGAAGCCATCGCTTTTGCGACCGCTTGGATTGGGATGGACATGGCCGTAGTACAGACGGCGGACACGGCACCGAAGAATTTCCTGGCCAGCCACTCAGCGGGCCGACTCTCCTGCCTGTCTACCAACAAAACACTGTTGGAGAAAACAATAAAGGTATTGATGATTTAGGGATTCTATTGGCTTGGATCAGGCTATTGGTGACGACCACTTCATTCAGCAGATTTGACATTTAGATTTGTTCTCCATTGGGGCCATTAACAACATTGATTATCAATGACACAGTGCAATCAAGTTTAATCAATCATTTGTATCACGTTAAATGGTGCGACCAACTGTTTTTCATGGGCTGCACAGGAGGGAAAAACACTTGTTATTGTGGTACATTACAATTTCACCATGACTTTCAAAAAAGCATACTTAAAAGGGGACCTATCATGCAAAATGCACTTTTGTACGTCTTTTATACATGAATATGTGTCCCCGGTGTTCCAGGGAACTCACCAAGTGTCAGAAAACAAAACCCTCTCTCTTTTCCTCCATACCCAAATCTCTAAAAACGGGGCTGCAACGGATCTGATAAAAACTGATCCAGATTTGAACATTTCTCTGACGTCAGGACGGAGGAGCTGACCTATCAGGGGAATGAGAGGTTGCCGTGGCATGGTAACAGCATGGTAACACAACGCTCGTAACTCGGCCCCCTCCTTTGCAGGGGGGCGTGGTCAGCTGCAGCGCATGCAAAGACAGGGTGGAGGAGAGCAAAATAGAGTGAAATGAGGCATGGCTAAAATGCATGATCTGTTTGGTATTTTGAAAAATAAAACGTATAAATATACCTTATATAGGTATGGCCCTACAATATATTATTCAAATATAGCATGATAGGTCCACTTTAAAGCTCTTAACATCTATTTATGAAATCTTGGTGTGACATTTGACAAGGCAATGCATTTTGATCAGCATGTTAAATTATTGACCCGTAGCTTTTTCCCCTCTTAGAAATAGTGCAAAGCTCAGGTCTGTCACAAGCGGAGCTTGAAATGATCATTCATGCTTTCATATCATCCCGATTATCGTAACTCCATTTTCACGCGTTTCAACAAGTCATCTCTGAACCGCCTACAAAAAGGTCTAGAAAGCTGCTGCCAGGCTGTTACCAGGTCCAGCAGTTCCAACTTAGAACACTTGGAGACATGGGTAATTAAGAGCAAACGCCTAGTTTTTTGGTTGTGCTCAGCGTCCTTTAAAATGATAAACTATCAGCAGCCATCAGATCACATAATCAATCCCCACATTCCCTCAATCCAATGCATTTGGGTGCAATTGTCTGTAACGGATTAAGATAATGTTCACATGCATAATAACATTTGCTGCAGCAGAGGATGCATATTTTCAGGATGAGATCCTCAACTGTTTGACTATACTTCTGTTGTAATGTATGTACAATCTCCAATTACAATGAAGTTGGGACGTTGTGTAACACATAAAAACAGAATACAATGCTTTTCAAATCCTTTGCGACATATATTCAATTGAATACACTACACACTCATTTTGAATTTGATGCCTGCAACATGTTGGGACAGGGGCAACAAAAGACTGGGAAAGTTGAAGAATGCTCAAAAAACACCTGTTTGGAACATTCCACAGGTGAACAGGTTCATTGGAAACAGGTGAGTTTAAAAACAACTTTTTTGGAAATGGGGTTTTGTAAAATGTATACATGTATGTGTCTTTTTGTTTGTTTGTGGAAAATGTGTCTCGTGGTGAATATGGAAGTTGGTCGCATAAAATGATTTAAAAAATGTAATGAGACTACTCACCCTGGTCTGTAAATGGCAAATCTGTCAAAACCTAGCGCCTCGATTTCTGCCTCCACTTGTCCCTGGAAGAGAATCAATTTCATGTTAATCTTTTCGTGATTATCCAATTTCATTATTTATTGAAACACACAGGAAAGCCTTAGTAAAGAAAAAGAAAAACACTTCAGTATGTGGCTCGCAGAATAGAAAGGAAATAAAGTACCTTGACTTTGAGGTAGAGGAAGTTGCTGTTTTTATCCGCTCCTCTGGAGGACTCCAGGTGGAACTCAGCGCAGCCTCCTGCCTTGGCGAGCTCTGCTGATTTTAGAACATAGTCGTGATCAACTCGGATGAATCCTTCCTGAAATAAAAGAGAGAATTAAGTGAATAAAATAAAAATAAAATACAGTATTTTGACAATATTGACAGGTGTCTGACACATCCTACCTGTAGCTAACAATTACAAATACATATTTTTTTAATTAAAATCAGCAAAATAGCTAATTGGCATTTGACTTTAATTGATAAGCTAATTTTGGCAGATATATTGGCCTAGGCACTGTTTCAGTCTTAACTACTGGAAATGGTTGCACATGGCAATGAGTCATCTCTACTGAGCAACAACACCTTAAAATCCTCAAATAAACTGTATTTTTTTTGTTATTTTGTTATACAGTCATTTCTTAATTGATTCACCAGTCTTGTTCTTGTGTCTGTCTGATACAATGTTACTTACAGTTCCTGCTTTTGCTTTGGTGGTTCCCAGGCAGCAGTAGCCGACATCATGGCCCTGGAATGACGCAGCATAATCCTCAAGCTTCTCAAAGTCCACCACCTCTTGGACCTGGAGGCAAAGAACAGAGTAAAACACATGTCAATCTCAACTTGATGAACCTCAGACAATTGGGAGTCACATAACATGAATCAAGCCACTAACCAGGTTTTCATTTGCTTTGTCTTCAAAGGTGAGCGTTCTCCTTCCGATCAGGGTGATCTTGGAGAAGATGTTGCGCCCAAGCAGATCTTGAAGCAACATCCTGCCCGTTTCCCCCGAGGCACCGAGGATGAAACAGCTTTTATTTTGCTGCCTGAAATTTTCTTCCAGAGTCTTGGTGTCCTCAGCCATGCTGTGTGCAAAAGCAGACATCTCTCTTAGCAGCATAAATGGGTGCAGGTTATGCTAAAAATGAAACGTAGTAGGCAATGTGTGCAAATCCTAACAATGCTGTGCAAACATTGGTGGGGGCCCGAGGCAAACATTCAATGGGGGCCCCTCGAACAAGCTTTTCATCACCGACAACACCCCCCCCGGAGCGGAGCGAGGCAACAAAACTTAAGATAAGAAGCAGCATTTTACGGCACGCTATGCATGGGGCCGCCTTGAGAGGATTTCCCCGACATGTCGTTGCAGTAAATTAAAGGGTGTTTCATGTTGTCGTTGCTGTGGACCTTAATCTACCTTCATTGGGGGCCCCCTTCTGTTCCGGGGCCCCAAGCAGTTGCCTGCCTTGCCTGTTCGCAAGGTGCGCCCCTGTGTCTATGTTTGGGACCAAGAAAATGCGTTGGACTCTCGTCTACCTTGGTAGACAACAGTAATATATTAATACACACGGGTGTATAGTGCAATGTATGCCGAATTCATGAGAAGATGCATATACTTCATAATCCAGTTCTATTTCTGTTTTACAAGGCAGGCATGTTTATACAACCAGAAAATAAACTTGAATTGACGGATTGGTGAACAGGGTTTGGCTTGACGTTGTGTCGATACTCGTGTTTACACAGGGAGTGACGTTCTTATGTTACATTTAAAACAAATCACACTTGTGGTTCACAGGTCAGGGATCAGAAATTAGCTGAATTTAAACAGTACTTATATAGGCTATACGAATTGACCTTAAGTTACGTTAAATGTATCTTGTGTTAGCAGCTACAGTAACACTCATGTGCCGAGCTGACGGAGAAGCTAACAGAGGTTTCCGCTGTTCTTTACCTGTTGTATTTAACCGGATCAGGGTCGTCGAAATAATTGAAAAGCACTGCAATGAGAACAATTACGACAGCGAAGATCCCGGTCGCGTTTCCTAGGATGGAGTCCAGCAGTTTCATAACAGACATTGCCAGGAGCAATGGCTAAATTGCTGGGGCACTTCCTGGTTGCTTCATGTTCACAGACGGTGCTCCCTCTGCTTCGTTGATAGGTTGAGGGGGGGGGGAAACAGTAAAGATCGCCAAACTCAACAATTGACAGCTCGATGTACACCAATACTGTTATTTTAAGGTTTCATTTATTTGGTAGGATTTAGGATACGATAGTGAATCCAATGGAAAGGGACAAAAAGCTTGTAATTCAACAAGCCTCGGTGCTCATCTTCATGTACCACCATACACAGGAAGGAACAGCGCATGCGCACTTGAAATATAAAATAAGCCTACAAAATAATCACTACTTTCACAGTTTCTTACTAGAAAATACGTGTTCACCTGTTTTAGTGAATTGCTTACTTTGTGTTAACCCTTAGTGAACTTAATTTATATCTAATGCATTAGAGGTGTTATACTAAACATCAATATCTCCCAAAATTAAATGAATGACAACTTTGTATGTGCGTAAACATAATTAATGTGTCTTTTAAAATGTATTTAACAATAACTATAAGGAATAAGAAACAGATAGCTTCATGCTTTTCTTTTCCCGAGGAAAATATTTTGTTTATTGTGGAAAGATATAAAAATAAAGCCCAACTAATTATTCCCCATCTCCACAACTCTTATTCAACTTACCCCAATAAAAAGTATTCACAGTTCAGACAGTTTAGCGTGTTGCACTTTTAATTAAAATACATGTTGCCAAGTAGAGGAAAGTGTATTCAGAGACTTCATTCTAATAATTGCCTTGGTATAGAAATACTCTGTTACAGAACTCCCATTGGATCTTGCATTCTGCACTATGATCTGTAACATTTAATCACTGCAGAAAGCTTGGATCTTCTATTTGGAGGGAACCATTTATAGTACAGCGGATAAGCACAACAATTGTGCATTTTATGAGAAAAGCATGACATTTCTAACATAGTTAGTGCATACCATAAGGTTTATTTTCAGATGTGGAGGGAAGTCAGATTTGACCTGTGAGGACCGTGAGAGGTCAAATCCAAGATGGCCGCCAGTCTCTCGGGTCAAATGTTCAAACACGTTTAATTTTGGAACCAAACATTGTAGAAAAACATTTAAGGTGTCATATCCAACTAAATTAGGGATGCCCAATCATTTGATGATACTTTTGAGATCGCCAGAATTCAAGAAAATGCATTTAGGTGAAGATAAAGGTAGAAATTGACCAAAAATAAGCTGTCAATCAGTTGAAATTTGGTGTGTGTGTGTGTGTGTGTGTGTGTGTGTGTGTGTGTGTGTGGTCACCCAGCGCTAGCATTAATACAGAGACTGGAGGAATATGGCTTTACTTGGCACAGTCTGCATGCTGAAGCAAACATTTGTTTTTGTCTTCAAATACATACTTACATGATTGTGACGAGCATAATATTTGCTCCCCGCCCAACTCTCTAAGTGCTTGAACTCCGTGACAGGAGGATGAAGTATGTATAAATGGATGGAACTATCAACAAAACAACAGCGTTTTATTCCCCAATGTCATATTTAATAGAAAAATAATGATGCACCACTTATTGGAGAAAGAAGAATGGGGAACAGAAAGGTTTAGAGAGGGACAACATGCTGAAACCTTGCAACTTCAGTGCCAGAGAAAAAAGGTACTGTGAGTACACTTGTGGTTATTGTCCTCATGTTGCACATAGAAAATTCAATTAAGATGTTTACCGCATGTGGGCAAAAATCCATCAATCTTTCAATTTTCTAAAACTTGTTATATCCTTAGAGTCATTTAAAATGAGTTTTTTTCTCCATGCCATGGAGTCTAAATGGGTAAACCTTTGTATTTGTAATTGTACAGCCATGCTAGGACAAACAAATCCCCTTTGCCAATGTTCTCTCTGCCACACACACAACATACATAACCCTTTCTTTGCATGACCTCTAAATGTCCATGTGAGCCACTAAAGAACAGAAAAAAAGCTGCGCTACCTTGGCTTTATAGGTGGACAGGCAGGGAATTGAACCCCAACCCTCTATAAGTGGAAAGGGACAGCGGTGAACCTTATAGTTGAGTGCAGCCCTTTGTTAACAGCGAGGGTTAAGAGAGCTGTTTGTGCTCTACATGGAACTGTTTTCCATCTCCCTCTTTGGTTTACATTATTATTATTATTTTTCTATTAAATATGACATTGGGGAATAAAACGCTGTTTTGTTGATAGTTCCATCCATTTATACATACTTCCTCCTCCTGTCACGGAGTTCAAGCACTTAGACTTAGAGAGTTGGGCGGGGAACAAATATGATGCTCATCAAATATGATGCTCATCAACATGCAGACTGTGCCAAGTAAAGCCATATTCCTCCAGTCTCTGTAGTAATGCTAGCGCTGGGTGACCATAAATCCACTGGAATATACCACACACACACATTTTGCAAATTTCAACTGATTGACAGCTAATTTTTGGTCAATTTCTACCTTTATCTTCACCTAAATGCATTTTCTTGAATTCTGGCGATCTCAAAAGTATCATCAAATGATTGGGCATCCCTAATTTACACACACACACACACACACACACACACACACACACACACACACACACACACACACACACACACACACACACACACACCTTATTTTTGGTCAATTTCTACCTTTATCTTCAACTAAATTCATTTTCTTGAATTCTGGCGATCTCAAAAGTATCACCAAATGATTTGGCATCCCTAATTTAGTTGGATATGACACCTTAAATGTTTTTCTACAATGTTTGGTTCCAAAATTAAGCGTGTTTGAACATTTGACCCGAGAGACTGGTGGCCATCTTGGATTTGACCTCTCACGGTCCTCACGGGTCAAATCTGACTTCCCTCCACATCTGAAAATAAACCTTATGGTATGCTCTAACTATGTTAGAAATGTCATGCTTTTCTCATAAAATGCACAATTGTTATAATATGAGAGCTTATCCGCTGTACTATTAACTAAAGTTGTAAGACAAGAGATTCTCATTGCTAAAATCAAACCCTTACACCAGCTGTCAAACATTTGTCCTCATCTATTTAGGTTGTCGTCATTTGTAATAACTCCATGAGACCTGACCCTGATAGACCAATGATTCATTTTAACAATAACCAGGTCAAAAAACTATCATTTTGTATCCGAATAAGTAGAAAAGTCATCCAGGATGGCAGCACCTGTGTGTAATTTGTTCAGAACAAAATCGAGACTGGACCCAAAAGAGAACCGAACCTTGACAAACGTATTTGCCTTTTGTCAGACCTTCAGGGGGTTTCATTAGCCAAAACCTCTTTACAAAGAAAGCAAGTCCAGTCACATGCAATGAATTCATCAACACCCCATGTTTTTAACACCCCTGCCACTTGGAATACAAGGCATCGACCCAATCTAATAGAATATGATGGAGCCAGGGATGATCCTTTAAAGATGTCAGCAGTAAGAGACAGAAAGAAAAGAGGCTGAGGTTGAGAGAAGAGGTCTTAAACTGGCACTCTGCTGAAATGAAATGTCGCCTCTTTGTTCCTTAGCCGCGGGTGCTAATTGGGCCTACCGGCGGGGAGGAAAACTGCCGCTGGGCTCCTGTCTGTCACACCTGTTGAGTCATTGTCTCTCGCATTGATCAGACAGGAAGTTGGAGTAAGAAGGCTTATGCCTCAGTGGGTGCGTGGCAGAAACATGGTTCAATTTCCTTTCAGAGCTCCGCCGCCGGAGGTGGAAATACCAATGGTGGTCAGTGGTCAATTGCGTTTAACCATTGATTAGCCTGCACTAAAGGACATATGGATCCTGAAGAGTTGGTTTTCATTGGCGTTTCTACATTATTTTCTACCTCACTCAATCACAATCCCTCCCGTATTTCTTCCGCATTGGATAATATGTTTGATGTCGCAGTCACTGCTGTTCTGCCACACTTCACCTGAAGGCCTATTCAGACAGGATTAGCTTTTAGAACAGTGGATGTGGAATAGCTCACACATTACACACCGCTATATAGAAACTTGATTTTACAGGTTAAACAGATAAAAACTGATAATGAACGGTGATACTGGCACATACCAACAAATGCAAAGATTAAGGTATTTGCAAATAATCATCGACAATTTGCACCTGACCTGCAACTCCATCCTTGATACTAGCAAAAAAAACTCACGGGGTTGGGATGTTTAGTTTAATCTCAACTGTGTACCGGATCACCATGTTTTAGTCACAAAAAAGTTAAAAAAAGAATGTGTGAGGATATTAGGTTAAAAAACAACCTTGAATCTGTAATGATAGTAATAATAATGGGTTCCATTTGTAACGCACTTCATGTTTGAAGTCAAATCTCGTAAGCGCACAGTTCAATGCTATACATATAGCATTTATGGAATGACACATTCATGGTATATGTATCTATATTGTAATTTGAAACAAACTAAGCTGCCAAAAAGTCCTTAAATACTGTTGCTTTCAATAGTATTGTTTTATTGATTTTGAAACTCACTTTTCACATGGGTTTTACTTCAAAGTGCCAATGGTATAGCAACTTTAACGTAAACTTAGCCGAGAAATTTGAAAGCAACTGTCTGAACCATGTTGCGTCCCCAAATACTTCAACTGGCCACAAACTTGGATTTTATAACATCTTTACACAAACTGCCGCCGTCTTAAGATGTAAGTTTGTTCTTAATTGATGGCATTTAATTGAGCCCTAAGGCATTCAACACATTTTTTTAATCAAGATACATTGTGCGGCATAACATGTTTATATGATTAATTACATTTGTATTTCCTTGAAACACATGCAGAAATCTGTAAAGATGTACTGACACAAATGGGAGTTTAATTGTATTTCCTAATTAAACCTATATACATGCATGCATGCCTACACAACACACACACACACACACACACACACACACACACACACACACACACACACACACACACACACACACACACACACACACACACACACACACACCAACACACACACACACACACACACACACACACACACACACACACACACACACACACACACACACACACACTACACAGTACACACAGTACACACAGTACACACACACGGCTTAAGGCTTAGGTTCCCGATTCCACAGACTCTGGAGTGTGATGCTAATGATGGATATTAATGGAGCCTGACAGCACAATCTGCTGCCCATTGTCTCCCAATAAACAGCTTTGCAGTCCACATGAGCCACAGAGGGGACGGGAGCTTTAAGCTGAGACAGTGAGAGCAGGAGACAGGCCGGGTGGA